GGAATCACGGACTTGCGCACACGTTTCCTCGCGGTAGTTAAGGCGTTACCGCGCGAGTTTAACAGGTACGTAACACCTAGTATGTTTACTAGTGATGTTCCCGAACCTTACGAAACGCTTAAGCTATCGATTTTAAAACGAGGAGACCTAACTGATCGACAACGGTTAGACCAACTCCTTAACAATATCGACTTGCAACATGGTTCTGCGACGGACATGTTGCTTAGAATGAGAGAAGTCATCGGCCAACGAACTTTCGATGATGGCCTATTTAGACAACTTTTCTTGTCTAAACTCCCTCAACAGGTGCAGGCAGTGCTTGTTTCATTTCAAAACAATGCCATAGATGAACTAGCTGCATCTGTCGATCGAATCTTGGAAATCACCAAATTTTCTAAGGCCGAGGTTTTTTCCATCAAAGAAAAACCCCAATCGACCTCGACTGACATGGCCGAACTATGTCACACGCTTACACGATATCTTAGAGTTCGCAATGACCGTAGTCGGTCAAAAACCCCGCGCAGAAGCGTTTCACGTAAGCGATCTGGCTCTCGACCACGAGAGACAGACAATCCCGACTGGTGCTGGTATCATAACCAGTACGGTAAGTTTTCCAGAAATTGCAGGAAACCTTGCAATTATCCGACTTCAAAATCGACTGACACGAATAAGATTTCGGGAAACTTCCCAGCCGGCACGCGTTAACAGCAACCGTAGCCGGCGAACACAGCCGCCTCTTATATGTCACGGATGTGACTACGAAAGTTCGCTACCTCGTCGACACTGGCGCAGAAGTTAGCGATCTTCCAGCAAATCCCGACGACAGACTTCGCGAGTCTGTTTTAAGTTTACAGGTGGCAAACGGAAAGCCGATCGCTACTTACGGTAAAAGGTACGTCTACCTTAACGTGGGTTTACGCAAACCCATACACTGGATTTTCGTGGTTGCAGATGTCTCTATGCCAATCATTGGTATAGACCTGTTACAACACCACAATCTACTCATCGACACACGCGCACGAAGGTTAATAGACGGAAACACTAAGTTATCCGTTTGCGTAACTCCTTTTTCTGGTTGCAGGTTATCCCCAGTCACGATTAAGCACACCATAGACCCCTTGTACCAATCAGTACTCGACAAATACCCCGGAATATACCAATCGCAATCGACATTGCCTTGTGTAACCAGCAATGTTACACATCACATCTCGACTACAGGACCACCTGTATTTTCGAAAGCCCGAGGACTCGCTCCCGAAAAGCTTAGGTTAGCTAAAAACGAATTCAACCACATGATGGACCTAGGAATAATTCGACCATCGAATAGTCCATGGGCATCCCCATTGCACATGGTCCCTAAAAAGGACAGCAATGATTGGCGGCCAACTGGTGATTATCGGCGTCTGAATACTAAAACCATTCCCGATCGTTACCCGCTGCCCCATATTCACGATTTGACAGCTACCTTGAAAGGTACAACTGTCTTTCCGAAAATCGACTTGGTTAAAGCTTATAACCAAATCCTGATGGCACCTGACGACATTCCTTAAACCGCCATCATCACTCCTTTCGGTCTTTACGAATTTCTTGTGAATGCCTTTTGGTTTAAGAAACGCGGCTCAAACCTTCCAAAGGTTTATAGACGACGTCTTCCGAGTTCCCAACTTCGTACATGCGTATGTTGATGACTGTCTGATAGCAAGTTCGGACAGAGAATCGCATCTCAAGCATCTGGACATTGTTTTCGATCGACTCCAAAGGCATGGCATTACTGTCAACATACAGAAATGCCGAATCGGAACAAACTCCTTAGACTTCCTAGGACACACCATTGATGCCCAAGGCATCCGACCACTTAGGAGCAAAGTGGCGGCCATTCTGGATTACCCAGAACCGACCACGATCAAGCACCTAAGAATTTTCAACGGACTTGTAAGTTTCTATAGACGGTTCATACCCGAATGCGCATCCCTTATGAAACCGTTAACCGATCAGCTTCGTGGAAATGCGAAATCAATCAGTTTAGACGACATAGCCCGTAAAGCATTTTCCACAGTTAAGGAACACATCGCTAAAGCAACCTTGCTTGCTCATCAGGACACTCAAGTGCCCATTAGTATCGCCGTAGACGCATCCGACTCAGCAATCGGAGCAGTCTTACAACAATGGGTTAACAACTCGTGGCAACCTTTAGGATTTTTCTCGAGACGGTTGCTAGACGCGGAATCTAGGTACAGCACGTTCGGTAGGGAACTCCTAGTTATGTATTGTGCTGTACGGCATTTCCAACATTCTATCGAAGGAAGAGAATTCACGATCACAAACCTCTTACCTTCTCTTTAACTTCATCTTCAGACAAGTACTCACCGCGAGAGTCTCGACAACTCGACTACATTTCGCAGTTTACTTCAGACATACAACATATTTCTGGAGCTAACAATGTAGTCGCAGACGCCTTGTCTCGAATAAATTCCTTGAACAGTTTCCAAGGAATCGACCTTCTTAAACTCGCTCAGCTTCAAAAAGAAGACATTGATCTTCAGCATGAGTTATCCTCGACAACTCTAAAACTAAGTATTAAGCAGATGGGAACAGGTAAGGAAACTTTACTCTGTGACACATCTACAGGTAGGGATCGTCCAATTGTACCAAAACATTATCGACGCAACGTCTTCAATACGTTGCACAATCTTTCTCATCCAGGTGCTTGTGCAACAATCGAACTTATAGCCGAACGCTTTTGTTGGCTTGGTATGAATAAAGACTTGAGGGAGTGGTCACGCTCCTGTGTAAGCTGTCAGAAATCTAAGGTAATCAGACACTATAAATGTCCCTTAGGTTCTTTCAAAACCCCTGACGCTCGTTTCGACCACGTCCATCTAGATTTGGTAGGACCCTTACCCGACTCGAACGGATACTCATATCTCTTAACATGCGTAGACCGTTTCACTGGATGGCCAGAAGCAGTACCGATTAAGGACATTACTGCTGAAACCGTGGCCCGCGCTTTCGTCGAACGATGGGTAGCAAATTTCGGCTGCCCTTCCACAATCACTACAGACCGCGGACGCCAATTCGAATCTGGACTTTTCCGTTGTCTGACCACACTTTTAGGAATCACGCGCTTCCGAACGATCGCCTACCACCCACAAGCAAACGGGTTGGTAGAACGTTTTCATCGACAATTAAAAGCTTCATTATCAGCTTCAAACGTTTCACAGTGGACAGACGCTCTTCCACTCGTCTTGCTAGGTATCCGCAATGCAATGAAAGCTGACATTGGATACACGGCATCTCAACTCGTTTACGGAACGACACTCCGACTCCCAGGAGAATTCGTGGATCCTTCAGCTTCTTCATTGAACATGGATCTAAACTCTTACACGAGTAGGCTTACAAACGCTATGCGTTCAGTAAAACCTGCTCACACCCGACCTCAATCAACTGATGTTTCCGTTCAACCCGAATTACGACATAGTACACACGTCTTCGTTCGTCGAGATTCACATCGACGACCCCTCGAATCAGCATACGAAGGACCCTTCAAAGTTCTTCAACGCGAACCTAAGTACTATGTAGTGGATAAGATCGGTACGAACGATAGCATCAGTATCGATCGACTCAAAGCTGCGTACTTAGAAGGAAACCCTAGCTACGTCGATTTTCCTTCGGTACAAGCAAACGACACAGCTACTACACTCGTACCACCGTACACGACAAGCGACACACAACTTGATACTTCGTCAACAACGATAGAAAAACCTAAAACAACGCGTTCTGGAAGACGAGTAAGATTTCCAGAACATGTTAACGAATATTGCACGTAGGACATAAGCTTTATCTTGAATTACCTTTTCATAGCTTATTATAAAATTTTTTTAATATGCTCATTTTTTTATTTATATAAAAAAAACAAAAAAACATTTTTATCTTTTTTTCAGCGTATATATATATTTTTTATATATAAAAATAAAAAAATCCACTTTATTCCTGATCGCTTTTACGCTGTTTGTAAGTGCACTAGTTTATTCACTTTTTTCCCGCTCATCTTGTGTCCCTACGCAAGTACGAGTGTATTTTTGACATGCACTCACACGTTTTATTTTTCCTCTTTTCCAGGACGGCTGGAAAAGAACGACGAAGTTTCGCAAGGGACCGAAATTTTCATTGTACTATATTTCTTTATTGCTATGTTGTACATTTTGGTCCCATAGTTTAAGGAAAGACGACCAGACGCTGCTAAACGAAGCAAGCTATCAGAAGAGTGTTTACCAACGACAAACTCGTTGGGTTTAAACTTCTGGCTGGTCACGTCTTAGGGGCATCACTACCTAACTAGAGGGGAGTGATCTGTAGCTGTAAATAATTCCCCAAAACCAATAGCTCAATAAGTGTTCGACATTGGATGCTGACCACGTTGTCTAAGTGGACTTGTTTAGCTGAAGGCTTTCGGTCATGCATCCGCACCAGATCACGTTTCGACTCGGCGTGGGACACAGCTCCTACGTTTCATTAGCCAGCTCATAGAAAAGGTCCTCGATATATTGGTAACGAATCAAATATATCTTTCCCGCCTCTTCTCGTCTGACTTCTGATTTCTATCTGACTGGGAACAATCGAATTTAGAAGGTGCTACTGGTATCTAGTTGTAAAACTAGAATATCCGTTGCATCATCAACATTTTAGCTATAAAAATGAAGATTTTACGTAAGCTCAAGACTCCTGTCCACTCATCTTTTATAACCAGTGAATTTTCACCAAGCTCCACTCTAATGTGATTTGTGGCGTTACATTAAATAACATTTTAGCAATACTAAACAAAACTAAAGATCAGCGGCCTCGAAAGCAGGCAAACATAAACTAATTAGATAAAACAAGTGCGACATGTCTGTCCAGCACAGAAATGTCTCTTAGAATGACGAACACCTTAGAAACCCAATATTTAATCTTCCAACCTACCTTCATGGGATATAAATGGTTTGAAATTGAAAAAAATATTTATTTTGTGGAGCCAAATACAAACTTTACGCCACACCTCGTGTTTTGCTTACAATTGCAACCTGAGTTTGTCGTGCCGCTATCTCTTTATCTTTGCAGCAATGTAAGCCAAATATTTGAAATTTATCATTGAGGTCTCGTCAATCTTTAATCCTGTAATTAATTTGTTTTGTACTCACGTTGCACGTTATTGGTGTTGATAATGTATTACTCCGTGATCATTCCTTTTATTCTCGCTTAATGCGCACGTTTCATCTCAAATACTGCCAGATGAACTAAGTAAAAATTGCCCATAAATATGTGAACGGTTGTGGTTCTTATGAAGTCGTACCTTTATAGTGGTATCCATCTTTAGTCAATAAGTTATGGTAGTTTTCCAATATAAACGTTTTGGTTATTCACTCGGTATTTTGTGCTCATATAAGTTTATGACAAACCTTAATAGATTACAGTCTTTTATTAGCATAATTCTAGGATTTTCGAGTATGGGCACACATAAATATACTTACTATGGTCATAAGTTGAAAGCTTAGAGGTTTCATGTAGGTAAGGCATTTATGATTCGTTGTCCAAGTGTTCCGGGGTACCAATAGATTACAAAATCTGTCTACCAAAAATCATATTAAGTAATCTGACAAGTCCGATATTTTCGTTAATCTTAGACTTATCCACCAGCTACGCTTTCCTTGAATTTTCAGTGAGACTAAAGTTTACGAACGAACTTCGGGAGACTCTGAAGTGACCTTGAGACCATTCACCTTAACGATGGTAAAATAAAGTTGTAAGTTAATATGCTGAATTAAGAGTAGTGTTCAGAGCTGGAATTTAAGATAATACATGTTTTCATCACAAACCGACATCAGCTCTAATGTTTAAATGCTATTCAAGTGTGTGGATGGATGAATTTTGCGCCCAAATTTAAGACTTGTCATCCTTAATTTCATTGGTTTGTCCACAAATTAATCTCGTCGACTTTTCCAGCAACAGACACTTTAACTCTACTGTCAGGTTTGTTGTGGTATAATTATGTCGTTTTCCCTGTATTAAGGTAGCTTACTTTTGAAGATCGAATATCTAATGAGTTGAGGAAATAAGGCGCCGTTAGTTTTGTCAACGCTATAGGACAAAAATCTAAGATTATACCCTTACTCTTATTTAAGCACTCCAAACCCCCTATTTCAGTTTAGTATCCACTGTATCACATGAGATGTAGTCCTTTTGCATATTTCAGGTTTCTATGGATTTATCTAAATGAGCTTGTTAGTTTACTTAAGCTCATCTAATTTTCACGATACACAAAATCTTTAACTACTGGATACGATTGTCTCGTAAACCCTAACCAGGTGGTTTCTGTTCCTCTACGCGGCTCATACTAGTCTAGTAAATCTTTAACTCCTAGCCCGCCTTGATTCAACCACTTAAGTTCACTTGGAGTAGTGATAAATTAATATCATAGGTTTTGGTGATTCGTGTATTTCGCTATAGATTTGAGTATCACTGGGATATTAATCTGTGATACATAACGTCTTATCCTATTACCCATTCTAAAATCAATAAACCATAAGGTTTTATGCAGCTAACTGAAAGAAATAATTTTATCTCTGCCCTGGTAATTAAACGGTCTTCATTTTGCAGAATTGTGAGGCTTCATGTTGAATGCCGAGATTCTTCGGAAATCACGAGGCCGAAGTCCTCCCCAACTAGCATGGCAAAAATAAATATAAGTATGTGGAATGTCCGAAAAATGTGGACGAACGAGAGGACTAAACAAATAGCTGCGGAAATGAATAAATACAAATTGGCGGCTCAGAATAAGTGAAACCCACTAGACACAAGATGCATAGAAAAGGGTAGGTTCGGGAGAGATGCAGTTGCACTCTGGTCATGAAGAAAAAAATGCTTCGCACATAGGTAGTTGCTCTGATGCCGTCCACAGAAGCATGAAAAGCACTTAAGTGACACAGCTTCAGATCACCATCTGGTGGTTGCCAACGTGAAACTGAAGCTAAAGAAGCGGTGGACAATTAGATAAAGCATAATAGAGGTTCAATACAGCCTTCCCTTGGGATACTGATAAACTCAACGAATTGGAAGTAGCTCTAAGCAACAGGTCCCAAGCCTTTCAAGATCTAGCAATGGTAGTGGAAAAAAGCTGCAAGTGAAGGAAATTTGCGACAACCATATGATGCAACAATGGCAGAGAAATATAATGATCCAGATGGGCCAGTCAAAGAAAAAGAAAGCAAACCAATCACTGGGATCCAAGAACAGAAGAACAGGTGTGAAGAACACTTTGAATAACTCTTGAATATACCAACTCCTCTGAATCCACTAGATATCAAAGCAGCATAGACGTCACTCTATCAACAGTCAAAAAAATTAGTATGGGTATCAGATAAATTGTGAGTGGGAAAACTGCAGCACCAGACAACATAAAGGCTAAAGCACTGAAGTCAGAAATAGAAGTCACTGCAAAGGTGCTTCACATTCTACTCAGAAAGACTTGTGAGGACAAACAAATGCCGACAGACTGGAAAGAAGGATAACTCAACAAGATACCAAGGAAAGATCTGAGTGAGTATGAGAACTAAAAAGCCATCACACTACTATCAGTACCAGGAAAAGTTTTCAACAAAATGTTGTTGAATCGAAAGAAAGATTCAGTAGACGTCCAGCTTCGAGATCGACAGTCTAGATTCCGTGAGAATCGTTCGTGTACAGACCAATTCGTGGCACTGCGGATCATCGTTGAACAATCAATTGAATGGAACTCGTCACTATACATCAACTACCTTGATTATGTGAAAGCGTTTGGCTGTACAAATAGGATAACCTTACGGAACAAGTCAACTCCGGAAAAGACGCTAGAGGTGTATAGGACATACATTACAGAACTCATCAAACTACGTCACGAAATAATCCCAAACTTGGGATTTTGAAGTTGATAGGAAAAGAGATGAAACGAGGAAGACATTTGTCCAGGGTTTAGAGGCAGTTTTTGAAGAAATGAATGGTAATTGTGTACAACTTTAAGGGTGAGTGGAGGATATATTTCGTGGTTGATGGCTTATACTCCAACGAGGTCGAAAGGCGTAATTAAGTTAGTTATGGAGCTCCTGTTTAACCTGTAGAAACCTAACTCTTGATTCATTTCATACTTCTAACGGTGCACACTTTGAACGACCTCCTATTACTTACTGATCATTAAAATTATTGTGTTACTCCTCATGTGTGTATATGCACCTTACCCTCTTTTTCTCTTCCCATTCTCTTTGTTTTGTGCGGCGCATTTATATCTGGTGCCTCCTTGTACCAATATGTGTTTTTAAAATAAATAAAATGATTGTAATGCTCTTTAAATTAATGAACACAAGACGCAAAGAAAGAATAATAATAATGAGCCTATTATGCATTTGGAAAACGTCCCTTATATTTCTATACCTAGAAAGTTGTAACAAGATTTTAGCGAGACATGAAATTATCTAAAAAGTTCTCAAAACATATAGTATATTCGAACTGTGTACCAGGAATATAGGAAAGATTCGGAGTCAGCATTTCACGCTACTAAAAAACAAAGTTTGCACTCCTATGTAACCCAGATTCTCGATCGCATTTCTACTGGTAAAACTATACTTGTAAAGGGAAAATAACATTTAATAAGTAACAGTCTGACAGTTATCTACTCATGTGTTATAGCTCTTTATCTGTTTATTTTATTTTATTTAAAGACATAAATATTGGTACAAGGAAGCACCAAATACATATGCGCCTCACAAATCTCATTCGATTTGTGTGAGGGCTGTGATACTGCCCAGGTGCCCAGACTGAAGCACATGGTTTTCTTAGGGGCCACACCCGGAGCCTTTGATCTAAAGATCTAGTCCACAAGGCAGTGGAGCATCGTAAGGAGATGCAGTCCCATGGTAGCCAGTGATCAATGATTGATTCGTACGCCATTTGTTCCCTCAGGATATTGGAGCCCATGTGCACCATTGGTTTGGAATGAGGGTTTTCCAACTCCCCTAGGTGAACTCGCAGTGTCCACCAACTCGGTTAAAGCGCCGGACATTTGCTTTTCGTCCTCTCAATTTCGTGAACAACAGTGATGCCACGAGAAGGTAGTGAGTAGGACTTTCCTGTCAGAGGCTATATATTCGCGTGGCCATGTGAGAGCATATCGAGAGGGAGAGCGGACTCTCCCCACTCTCGGCCGTACCAGGGCATTTGGGGGCCTCTTTATCTGTGGATGTTGTGAAACAGTTTTTTCACAAGGCCAATTAACATTTCCATTTCGTTTCACCTGAATTCTGACGAATTTTCATTATTTTGTCTTATCCATTTTAACTTTTCAGAAACTCCATTTTAGTTAGTGATTACAAACGTTTCTTATTCAAGTTCGTATAACTTAGTTCTATCTTGGACTTTGCACAAATGGTCGCTGACGCCGAATATCCTGATGTACACTTTCTACAATCCAATATTTCACTTTATGAGAATTCTTCTCTGATAGACACTGGAACCTTAAAAATATCTGAGGAGTAAGTTATGGAGATAGGTTGTATTAAAAACCCACATGAAATACAGTGATATCGTTAGACTAAATTATTAAAACATTAAGTTTACTTTCTAATAGTTGGTGAAAAATCAGTTTTGCTAGTGTGAAATGAATTAACCCAAGTGATCGGAAAATCGCATGTGTTGTATTTTCATATGTATTGTGTATTCCCTTACATTTCACTTTCCCTCATTCAGATCACTTATCTGAAGGACAATAAAATAGCGATAAGTCGCTGACAAATCTCCAAAATTCATGTTGGTTCTTATCAGTAGTTAGGTAAAGTCAACCTAGTAATCACCCTTGACCCCTGTGTACGGATTCTAAAGAAACAATATACATCTGGACTACCGATTACTACGGCGCGCAATGCTGACTAGTGTTAGAGACGGATGGAAGAAAGTTAGGGGCGGTCAAACCAAAGCGTGGCGTTAATCCATAAAGACTTCTGGTCTGAGCTATGTTGGTAGATGCAGAATACTTGCTTGGGGTCTGCGCGACTGTCGTAACCAATTGTTAGAGACTCTAGGTAACATTGCTCAGAATCGATCACGTTGGCGCAGGTGTATACGCTACTCGTCTTCCCTTAAACCGTGAGGTTAAAATTACTTTATACTTTTCTTTCTACGAACTAATTCTTTCTCCCCATATTATGTCCTTATATGTAGTCTTTTTTATATATTACTACCATTGAAGTAACTGCCTCTATGAACTTGGTGTTCATCTTGTTTTGCTAATGAGATGTGGCAACTTGGACCTATGCATATATGTGCCTGGTCCTACTCTGTAGCTAACTGACTAAAAAGACAGAAATAACAAAGATGCGACCTGGCGCACAAATGTTTGTCGATCCTGCTATATTTTTACTATTGACTAAAACTATACATTGGTTTCCACTGTTAACTCCACCTCAAGTCCAAAATGACTTCATAACTACTTGAAAGTTTTCCTTGAAAGCAAAAGTAATATTGACTCCTTTATATTTGCTTGTAGATGTTTTACATGGGAAGGCACATCAAAACAATTCTTTATTCCTTATTCACAAATAACCTTGCATGCTATTGCCAGGAATACTGTAGACCAGACTGGAGATCATCCCAATAATTTGTTTCCTCATCCACATTTATTAGTAATGATCGACGGAGATCGTGTATGGGATTCAAACACTACTGATAATTTATCTGATACGAGGCCACAAAACGAGCAAGATGGTATGCAAGTTGATGGAGGAGGTTCAGAAGAAGAGAATGAAGACTCAGATAGTGACCGCGCTCCAGACTGCCCTGGTTCTACATCCGTCCTCCGCTTAGTTCCACAAGATTCTGCACAGCTAGAAGACATGTATAAAGCACTAGCCGACTGTCAGGCATTAAATCCGGATCCTGAAGATGATAATTCAGACTTCGAGGGTTTCGCAGAAAATGATGAATATGAAATCGATGATCAAGGCATGGAATTCGAAAACCATACGAATAGTGAGTTATGTTACTAAACAACCTTCTATGATAAGTTTATTACCCTTTCCAAACGAGTTAAATTACCACTAAGGCAACGTAAAACTCTTATGAGAAGTAATCTTCGGTGCATAGTTCAATTTTATTTTTCGCCACATATCTTTGTCAGTAAGAGGATCTGCGGAGATTATAGTATTTTTAGCAGTTGAATTCACGAGTTGATCTAAGTTGGACCACCGTTTCGTCCAGTGCTTCCAGATTTTCAATGGTGGTCTATCTCAAATCGACTCGTGAATTCAGCTGTTAAAAATATATCTTTGTATCTTATTGCTGTTCAAGGTTTTTAATTCTCACCCCCCTTCCACAAGTTCACACTTATCTTACTGTACGGAATTTACACTTCATTGTTACAAACATATTGACCTAAAATAATGTTACACTACAAAATATAAAACTAATGTCATAAAATGCTATACTGACTTTAGGAAATCGTGAACTCGTCTTCTTATCTAGGCTTATCAACAACCTTACATTTATACCCATGTGCTGATTTAATTTAGTATGTGCTGTCTTTTAATAACCAGTGAATGCTTTCCTTGATACTCATTGGTTATTTGAATTATGTTCTCTTGAAATCCAAGATTTTCTATGAAACCCCTGAGCTAACTCGATAAACCTTCATTGAATCTCATTTATATGTTTCATAGTAATTGTGAAGGTGTTCGTAAGTTATACGTTGCATAACCATATTATTTATAAATAGCTATTATTTTATTGTACAATTTCCTCTCCAACACTTCATTGGTTCATTCAAAGTTTGTTTTATCGATTACTGTTTAGCGATGTTAAACGGATCATTTTTCTGATTCACTATTTGTTGTTGGTTTCATCTCTTTAAATAGAAGTTTTTAGCCTCGATTATTGTTTGATACAGTGTGACAGTATATAATCATACATCCTATGAAGCTAAAACTGCCTTCTGACTTTATTCAGATTATTATTATTATTATTGAAACACATAAATATTGGTACAATGAAGCACCAAATACATATGCGCCTCACAAATCTCATTCGATTTGTGTGAGGGCTGTGATACTGCCCAGAAACCCAAACTGAAGCAGGTTGAAGTGCAATTGTCTAGATGCGACTTAGCTGTGTATGATAGATGTCCCCAATATCTCTGATCGAAAGAACTGGCATAAAACAGATTCAATAAAATAATGTATAATCCAGTCTTCACTTCATATAAAAGTTCAGTTTGTCTTCACTTTTTACGGGTATAATTGCGTTCTCAATAATTTATTTCCATAACAATAGTAACATTATGTTGAATATACGCTACTAGAAACGATGGCTTAGTAATTAATTCAATTCTTTCAAACAGTTGGTAACAGGTTTGTTCTTTAATCTACTTGCTTTTATTTCGGGAACTGGGTATTATTACAACCAGTCCTCCAATCGTAAATCAAATCCCTAGTACACAAAAATTTGTTTATAAGAAATGCTCTCACATGGCCACGCGTATATAGCCTTTGACATAGAAGTCCTACTCACTGCCTCCTCGTGACATTACTGTTGTTTACGAAATTCACAGGACGAAAAGCGAATCTCCGGCGCTTTGACCGGGTTGCTGGATATGGAAGATCTACCTACGGGGGTTGAAAAACCCTAATTCCAAACCAATGGTGTACATGGGCTCCAGTATCCTGAGGGAACAAATGGCGTAAGAATCAATTGTTGGTTTTCAGCTACCATGGGACTGCATCTCCTCACGATGCTCCACTGCCTTATGGATCAGACCTTTAGATCAAAGGCTCCGGGTGTGACCCCTTAAGAAAACCACCTGGTTCGGTCTGGGCACCTGGGCAGTATCACAACCCTCACACAAATCAAATAAGATTTGTGTGGCGCATATTTATCTAGTGCTTCCTTGTACCAATATTTATATGTTTAAATAAATAAATAAAATTAAATATCGGTGAATTTCACCATCGACTATAGTCTACAACATTTATTTGTTTGTTATTTTCAATGATTAAAAATTTTCTTTTGCTCGTTTTTCAAAACAAATTGTAGATAATGAAAGATTTGGTGAACCGGACCAGTTCGCAGATGCCTAACACTTTTTTGTAAAATAATTAATGTATTTTTTAATTAACCATTTAAAACGATTATATATATCCTAATTTATTGAATACTGTTTTCTCCTTCAATAAGCTCATAATACCTAATTATTTTCAAAATTAAGGTAAACTAGAATCCATAGTTATAAGGTAAACAAAAAAAACTCGAGAGGCATCAAATGACAGTCTTGGATTGAATTTATAACTGAGTTTTCAACACAGTTGAGCGAAATAATTTATGTTTTCTTTCACCTTACATTCAAATGATCCCTTCATAAACAGAAGGGGGTTATTGTGGAGATTCTAGTAATTTTATATAGTTAAGATCATGAGTCAATTGAAGCTAGACCACCATGGAAAACCTGAAAGCACTGGACGGCCGTTTCGTCCTATTGTGGGGCTCCTCAACGATCCCGCCTCGCGGGATCCGAACCCAGGACCTATCGGTCTCGCGCCAGAGCACTTAATCGATAGACCACTAAGCCGGCAGCGAATTGTGTTGATATCTAACCTCAACCAATCCACAAAACAATTATTTTTGTACTGACTGGGCTTCTCTGTCTTAGCGAGATCAAATCTTTAAAGATTAGTGACTGCAAATTGTACTGTGCCTAGGGAACGTATGTTAGGAAAGGAATAAACAGCTGCACTGTAGAAAACTTACAGCACTGCAGTACTCTGTAGATATTATAATACATTGTTTAATAAAGAAATCTCTTTCTTGGAATCTAATTCGCGAAATTATAGTTTCAGTAATAAACGTTTCGAATTGATGTTGTCTTTTGCTCCTGTCAGTTATCATGTGACGAAACCGTCAATCCGAATACCGACTTGTGCGAACTTAGAACTGCGCCAAACCAATGGCACGTCAAGCAGCCTAGAGTTAACTCTGAGTCATTATTGGCTCTTCTCTCCTAGCCTTGTCTGTTTGAGTCCAGGACACAATCTTAGCTTCCACTGTATGAATCATGTATTTCAGACATACTTAGTTTATATACAAGCAGACCAGACCACACCATAAAATAATAATTGTACAAGATCAGATTAAAAGTGGCTATGAGTGTGAGACTGCTAGTAATAGAATAGTAAATCGTATAATAATAGCCAACAGGTCAGTTGAAAGCTTGTGACAGAAGGAATATAATCTAATTACTTAAAAATATGTATGTAATAATAGTCCATGAACAGTCACCCATAATTTAATCTACTTCGAATATATTGCAAATGTTTCTTATGGAACAACAACGAAAACAGCAGTATCAGTGTTCAAAAACATTATCTGAAGGAAATATTGCATTTCATAACGAGGTACCCAAAAAACATTTGGATGATCTCACTTATACTCTTCCCACCCAACAAAGGTTTAATGGGAATCTCAATTATTCACTCAATGTCAAACCACAAAGGTAGTTGATCACACAGATTTGGTTAAAGTAGATAAAGTTATAATTCTCACCTAGAAGTAGAACAGATTTATTCGTTAAATTCACACCCGAAAACTCTGCTACAGAGTTACACGGTCGGTGATTTTGTTGTAACGTCCCCTCCATACACGCCAGCTTATTAATGTTATTTTAATTTGCAGTTCTATCTTTTAGTGCCCCTCATATATGTGTTTGCTATTAACTATGACACTAAAAATCTCAATATCTAGGCCTATCACACAAACAACGTAGAATGCGAGTCGGTATCAGTGGTCACAGCAAGGAAGTAAAAAGTAACAATGTCGACTAAAACAGCCAGAAAAAAGTAATTCAGAGAAAACAAATCAAATTGAAGGATATGACATGATACTACCACCATTCTGGAAACACAGAAATACATACTTTTCTGAGCCGATGTGATTGTTTTAATATCAGCTGATTTTGATCTTTAAAATATCTAAAGCGAGGAAGACAGTTGTGTAAATTTTCAAATTCATAAATAAGAACTTATTATTTACGAGATTTCATTCAGATTTGTTTTACGCCTGTCAGTTTGTCGTGTGGTCTACTTATATCCGTATAAGTAGTATATGATGATGATCAGACATAGAATGCGTTTTGGCAGAAGATCGATAGGGAACGAACAAGAATGAAGCGCAATCGGTACGGAAATGCATGAACAATGAAATCAGAGAAGACGGACTGATATTTGCAGAAGGAACGGTTAGGATTGAGACAATAAACAGTTTATTTTGCAAATCAACTGTTTACTGTATGGTTACGAAAATTCAGTGAGGTCTATTATTTGTGCTTAAATACATTCGTTTGTTCCCACCCGTGTTCTTGTTCACAACAATAGGAGTAAGAGAGAGATCCAGAAAAATGATAATGCTCATAGTATGCAGGATATACTTTTTTTATCAATACAAATAGGATTAAGGTGTTTATTTAGCAGCCGAATTCACCATAGTCTGTTACTCAATTCTTCTTTTGAAAATATATTTGTGAGATTTTCATTAGAGGTATGACAAGTTTAGAATTTCAAATAGCTCATTAAAAAAAGTGACATGACACGATAGGGATATTATAACTACATTGCATAAGCAATATCGATAACACGGTTATTAGTATTTAAATGAGAATATATGGTTACTTTTATTGTTGAAAGGGACCCTGACAAAAAATATAAGTGATGAACCAAATTAACAGTTAAATAATCAGGTATGTATATGTACATTGCTGCACACACACACTTCTCGTTCTCATTTATCAGCTGCCGCTATCTGTGTTTACGAACCACATTGATATTCTCATTACGTGATTATTCCGGATACGCATTATCTTGGATTATATCTATCATATTTGGAACTATTGGCTACTTTTTATAATTGTGGATTACGAGACCAAAACGCGAACACACACCCTACTGACAACTGAAGTAAAGTCCCACAATTTTTTTCTTTGTGAGTTTATACTTGTGTATAGCGGCAGCTGATAAAGTAAGAACGAGAAGTATGTGTACAGCAGTGTCCATGAGCAGAACGGTAACGGACGATCAAAGTCAAACCCAAACAACTATTTTACAGTTAATAATAGTAATTATACAAATTACGTAAAACTATGGAGAGTGTAAATAGTGACAAGGTTACTTATAAAGTAAGTATGTATTAGCAATCTCCATAGTATTCATCATGATTATAAAACTTAAGACGCATAGAGGAATATTTATCAAAAATCTATTGAGTATAAACAAGGTATATGACGTAAAGTCTTTTTATAGTCGTTGTTATCCATCAAATACGATTGTTTCCTGGTTTTACAAAGTATACACTATTGTATTCAAAGTAATGATTGAACTCTTCAAAGCACGGAAAAAATTGTACTTCACACATCCAATCTAATCATCATCGCTCTTTGACTTTTAACAAAATCATTTCTATTTGTTTCATAAAATGTTCAAGTATTTGGTTCAATGAATGAAAGTTACAATTAAGGTAAATAAATTACAAAGATTTCCCACTGTATCAGATCAACAACAAAAAAAAGTGGTCAGTTTATTGATTATGTAAGTGAAAAACCAAAATACAAGTCATAATTATAAAAAGATGTTCTGCACATCTCATTAGGATATCTCTCCATTTAATCATAGACACAAGCTCAAAATTCTTGTTTACGATATTTGTGGAGATCTTCTAAACAAAAAGAGAAGAAAAAAACAATGTTTGCAAAATTAGTTGCATACCGTTGGACATGATCATTAAAAAGTACTGTGGTGTGAGCTACTGATATCGACATAAGTAGTATATATGGTGAGTAAGGAATAGAATATCTGACAGCAGAAGATTGAGAAGATCAAGAAGAGAAGAACAGAAATAAAAAGCAATTTGTATGGAAATCCAGGAACAATGAAGCCTGAGGCAATTGAAGAACATTTTGCAAATAGTGTATCATAGTATGGTTTCTGTATTTTACCAAGTAACGTTGTAATTTGTGCTAAATACATAGTTGGTTGTCCTTACCTATGTACTCATTCACAACAGTACTAGTGACAATAACAATAACTGGAAATAGATCTATACAACAATTTTCGAGGTAATAGATCCATCCTTAAGCATTCATTGATAAAGAAATGTAATATTGAAAACACGAGTAATAATGAAAAAGAGGTTGGGAAAACCAGATAAGAGACGTATATTTATCCAATTTTCATTTAAATGTAACTAAATCATACGTCATGCTAATCAAAGATAACTCTAACAAGTATTACTTTTTCTGCTACAAACTTGTTCTCATCACATATGACAGTTTGTTTAATAACACGAACGGTGTAAAACGATCTCCGTCTGCTTATATCAATGCAGATATACATTGTTTGGTTAAAAGATGGACATCTACAGGTTTTGCTTTGATAGCCCAATAACTGAGACAGAGTATAAAGTGAATATAGTAAGTGTATTTAGACTAACAAACAAAACAACCTAATTCTAGATTAATCAAGTTCGCGAGTTGTAGCCTAAACCCGCCCTTTATACTCAAAAAGTCGATAGTCAACCTTTTTTATTGATAACCAAAATACTATGACATGTTTCGCCATTCTATAATTTAATTAGTTATAATCACAGCCTAATGAGTTTGATTTACTTTTTTTAAAAATCTGTTAAACTTTTTTTAGTATTATGAAATATAGTTGAAATCATGAGGCAATTAGAGCTAGACCACCATGGAAAACCTGGAAGCATTGGACTGGCCATTTCGTTCTTTTTTGGGACTCCTCAGCAGTGAGCATCCATGATCCCGCCTTGCCAGACTCATGATTTCGACTATATAAAATTACTAAAATCTCCACAACCCCCCCCCTTCTATTATGAAATCGTAAATTACTCTAGAATTGTAACTACCAACACTTATGAAAACTTGAAAAATATCTAACAAATGGGATTTGCATATATTGCAGTATTTTCAGTTTATATTACTAACAGATCTCACAAGAGCACTAGTGGAAACCTGTTAGTACTACATAAATGCTTCGTCCTTCACAAATTTGAAATTTTATGCACGCCAGTTAGCCTTTATGGAGAAGCATAGGCTGTCCACTAAAAGTTCCCAAACTGCTTCATCCTAAACACTCCTTTTTAGTTGTTTCTATTCATCCTCATGATCCCTACCTCGAATTCCTGACACAATATGTTCATTGCTTTCTTTCTTTTACATTTCCCTTCAGGATTCCAAATTAGGGCTAATCCCGTGCTGCAGCTTGATCAGCTCCGCAATCTTCGTCCTGTCCACCTATAGCGCATTTACACCATTTTCTCTACAACCAGAACTCACTTGTTCTCTCACAAAGTAGCTTGTTATTTTTGACATCCGGACAACGGATATTGATTATCTTGTGTAAACATCTCCTCATAAATACCTGTACATTATTAATGAAGGCTGTAGTAGTTTTCCACGTTTCACTTCCCTACAATAGAACTGTCTTGACGCTTAGATTGAAAATTCTCACCTTTGTGTTAGCTTGCAGACAATTGTCCCATATGTCCACGTGTTCTTCAATTGTGGGAATATTGCCCTTTACTTTGTCAATCCTTGCATCCAAATATGCATCATATCCTCATTGTTTATTAATAATGCTGACGTGACATGTGAACGTTTCCACCTCTTCCAGAGCATCCATCAATTGTAATTGTGTTAGTGCTCTCTGTATTGTATTTCATGATCTTGCTCTACTCTTCACTCAGTGAAATGCTACCTCATAGTCAAGGACGTTATAGTGTTGTGGCTTGGCTTCGAAATAATTCCTTAGGTTTGGTTTATCAACTATCCTGATAATTGTAATTAAATAAATCCCAACGGGGTCTGAATTCAGCAGGCAATACAAAGCGGTGACTACAGTTTACTAGCGGATAGCACAGATAACAATGCCACAAGTACATCGGAGGTATTGGAGCAGAGAGGCTAATGTGCATGAGAGAGCGAATTCAGAAGTGGTTTTATAGTCAAATCGAATCGAGAAGGTGATTAACAAGATTCAAGCACATACATATGAAAGAGAATGACTCACATACAGAGATATTTAATATATTAACATTAAATTTAAAGAGAGATATGTGCGTGAGCTGTCACCTATGATCACGAACACACGTTTATACAAACATGATAGTGATCAAAATAATACAAAGAAATAGATGAATTGTTACTGTTCTAATAACACTGTCTATCAAATAATTCAAACAAATTCAACAACATTCTGTTGAAAACTATTCCCAGTAGTGATAGTGTGGTGTATGCTACTTATGTCTGACGACATAAGTAGTATGTAACACCAACTGGAAGAAGAAAACCTGACAACAAAAGGCTAAGAACATAGAGTTGAAGAAAGCAGAACGGGAATAGGGAATAAGTATGAATTGGAAGAATGTGAAGGATAATTGATGAGAGATTTGCACATTTTACGAAAGAATTCTGTAATTTTATGTTAAACAATAATATCTTGCCACCTAACATCTTTTTGTTGAAGGTATATAAACTTGCAAGTCTCTCAAAATCCTCATTCATTTCTCTCAGCCACTTTATGTCGTCGTGTTCTATCTTCATACTCGGAGTTATCCATTCCGACCTTGGCGTTTAAATCTATCTCCGGGATTGTCAGGTCGTTTTCCAGTCACCTTTTTACGATCGATTGCAGCCTCTTATAAAAATGATCTTTATCGTCTTCATTGCTATCATTGGTAGGTGCACAAAACATTCGTTGTAATTATAAATAAATAATATATTTGTAATATCCCAATGAGTACTCATTGGGATACTACTCATTGGGATATTACAAATATATTATTTATTTATAACAATCTACCCAATGCTCAATTTATTCAAAATTATCAAATCAAGACTTGGTAATGATACCTATTCGTTGTAATTTTTTGCAAAGTTGTTTTCTATGGTTTGGGGTTGCTGAACTTATGCCGACATCTACTCATTTTTCGGTCTTAGTGTGGTGTGCTACTTATGTCGGCATAAGTAGTATATGACGCTAGTCAGGAATAAAATGTCTGGCAGGAGGTTGAGAAGACTGAGAAGGGAAGAACGGGAATAGAAAGCGATTGCTATGAAAATACAGGAACAATGAAGTCTGAGACAATTAATGAACTATTTTCCTAATGAAGTACTGGAGTATGATTTTTCTGTTTTACCAAGTAACTGTAATTTTGTACTAAATAAAGTCGGTTGTCGTCACCTGTGTTCTCCTTCACGATATTAGCATCGGCAGTAACCCCAGCAGCGTTATAGGTAGAGTGATGCTAGCGCCGTGAGTAGCGCGTTACACAACAGAGGTAAGGTATCACAAATACGCTACATTAATAATAATCATGTGCTCACTGGTGACTAGCTTCAAGATACAACTTCCAGGGTTCTGATGAAAAACCGTGACCAGTGGAGTCACATAGGTGTCGGGTGTGAAACAGTTATTCACTGCAGACAATTGACGGAGGTTGCACAATATCCTAAACCAGTTGTAGTCATCAACGCTGTTGGATGCTACCTCAATGATATAAAGGTTTAGCGTCAGCACATGTGACCGAAGTCCATGAGTTCGATGCCGGAGTGGGCAGTTGAAAATGCGGACTCCGATACTAGGACGAAACGGTCTCCCACTGATTTCAGATTCTTACTTGTAGTCGATTCAGTTGAGATCGGTTCATGATTTAGACTGTAAATAAATTTAACTCTGAACTGCTTGTACTTTCCAAACACAACGTTTATTGTTTAACAATTAGTTTCTTCGAATCTCAATATGTCTCAGTAATTTCAGCACAGTAAAACTTACTAGTTTATTTGTAAGTGGGGAGAAAGTAAAGAAGCATAATGAGTTCTGTAATTAATGAAGTTCTTGCCTTATTTAAATTTTCAAAGGAAACCAAATGTATGAAAATAACAGTAGTGATACACACACATGATTATCATTACAACATACAGTAGGACTAAAGACATTTATAAGGGATGAAGTACTGTCTATGGGCTGGAAAACGTTTTGCTGATACGCCTTCTAATTCATATTTCAATATTTAGTAAAAAAGTTTAGTTGAACGGATCATGTGGAGCTTAGTTTAATTTGTATTCGTTACATGCTGATTTCATTTGAACTGTCAGTGAAAAGCAACGGATATTGATACAGTAACTGAGACAGATTTGTTACAAATATAACTTACAAATTCAGGAAATAAGTCAAGTTTTAAGGTAATAGTCAGAATTTTATTAATCATCCTATGAGAGAATATCAATAAACAAAATAGAAGATATCAAATCTATTATAAGAGCCACAATCAAACATCAATTTTGTAAACTGCGCATAGCCACATAAATACAATAGATAAATACAAATAAACACCATAGAGCTATGATTATAAAACACATGTTGAAACAAAAGAAGAAAACATGCTTAAGCAAAAGTCACATTCAACATTGATATGAAGCAAAGGAAATGAACAACGACGATAAACAAATAATAATAGCTAAGACATAAATATCACTAGCATTCCTCCTAATGAACAGTATAATTGTAGAAGAATTTATTGGAATTTAAGATCACATACTTGTGTGTGTGTGTGTGTTTACCCACTATTTCAAATTGTAAATGCAACATAAACAATAATTAAAATGAAAACAAAGTCATGAGTACTTCATTGAATTAATTAATAATGATAATAATAATCCCGTTATATAATTAATGTTTTATTTATTTATTTAAACACATAAATATTGGTACAAGGAAGCACCAGATATATATATATATATATATATATATATATATATATATACGCCACACAAATCTCATTTGATTTATGTAAGGACTGTGATAATGCCCAGGTGCCCAAACTGAAGCAAGTGGTTTTCTTAATGGGCCACACCCGGTGCCTTTGACCTAAAGGTCTAAAACACAAGGTAGTGGGGCAACGTAAGGAGATGCAGTCCCATGGTAAACGGTGACCAACAGCAGGTTCATACACCATTTGTCCCTTCAGGATACTGGAGTCCATGTGCACCATTGGTTTGGAACTAGGGTTTTCCAACTCCCCTAGGTGGATTCACCACGTCCACCAAAACCGGTTAAAGCGCCATACATTCGGTTTTCGTCCTCACAATTTCGTGAACAACACCCCTGTCACGAGAAGGCAGTGAGTAGGACTTTTCTGTAGGAGGCTATATACGCGTAGCCATGTGATAGCATATGGACAGAGAGAGCGGACTCTCCCGATTCTCGGACATACCAGGGCATTTGGGGGCGATAAATGACATAAAACTCCCGGTTTAAACTCCTTCCATACCAAAAAAAAGTTTAAATATACTTAAATTTCCAATAACATTGGCTATTAGTATTAAAATTTATGAGAAAAAAACAGTTAGTTATAGGTGTTCAGCTTTTATAATAAGAAACTGACGTGGAAGTTTTCTATCCCCCCATTACCATCCCTTTTGTTAAACAGACTACCTAATTGAGGTTCAGGTGATTATCGTAACCAAGAGTTGGAGACTTTGGGTGAAATAGTTCAAAATTATTCATTCTTTGTCTTTCCCATAAATCTTAAATTTGTAAATTTCTTGTTTTATTTAATCCCACTAATTTATATTTTCTCCAATCGCATGTTAGATTCCTGATTTTTCCTATTACCGCTAACACTGTTACTAATTCTATCCTCTCTGGAATTTGTACCGATAATTTTATCCCGCTGTGCTCATGAGGTATCCCAACTTGCTTTGACGTACATGTTCCAGGCTATACGTTGCGTTTGACCGACTAACTGATTATTTTACACTGGATTTTTAAACTTAATCATTTGACTTGAACAATATATTGAATTAGATTACAAATTTACAGAGTTTATATTTATGCAACATTATGTTTTCCAATGTGAAAACATGAATCCATTTGTTAAGCAGTCAACAAAATGACACCAAGTTAATTTTTTTAGAAAAAAAGCAACCATAAACTGAAGAGTAAAACTAAAGTGACTGTCGAACAACCTAAACTAGGAGTGAAACGCAAATCTAATGTCAATCAACTTCACTAGATTTAACACCTACTTAATGTATTAGCCAATTTGATGTACGATGAACACCATAAATGGGTGTTTATTTATTTGTAATTGTGGTTCAATTATCAGATATTTATATACCGTGCACTAAAATGACGCTTTTGATGATAAGGATTACAACACTGATTTCTGCTGTGATCTTGACTACGCCAACAATTCTATAAAATCAGTCAATGTACAGAGTAATGTTCGACTCCCTACTCGAAATCTTCACCTGCCTCAAAACAACCAATCAGAACACTAGAAAAGCCATCTCAGTACCGTGTAGAATTCGGATTTAACAACTCACATAATAAAGTTTGTATAAAATACACGACCATGATGTACCATAAATGATTGGTTGCTATGTGTACGTACCAAATATATTTTTGGTATTAAATGACTAAAGATAGTAGACAGAATACCCTGGACCTAGGTTTCTTGTTAGTCGGCAGTCGTGGCTCAAATCTTCAGAGAACTAAGTATTCATATAGGATTCAAACTTGTGCAATCCGGCTTCACAGCCTCAGGCACTACCACCGAGCTATTCGAGAAGCAAATAACCTCCCTGAACAAGCTTAGAGGTTCTCTTTATTGACGAGTACCAACTAGCGTAGAACCCAGTTCCAGGGTGTTTCTGTCAACGACCTCCGATCACCTAACATCAAAACATAATGCACATGACTTTGAGTCACTTAGAGTATTGTCCCCACTGCAACGTGACTGATGAAATTCGGCTAGCAATAAAGAACTAGACAAACACAATATTGGTCACTATTCGGTGAAAAATCAATGTACATCTGTGGTATAAATCTACGTATTAGGTTTAAAATCAATGAAAAATAATGTACTACAGGCGAAAGATTTGGTAACAGTTAACCAATAAAACAAAAACTTACAATTAAGATAATCTAAACATACTATAAGCCCAATGCTTACTAAACAAACATTAAAAATACATAGACTGATTCAAGAGAGAACTTTCAAATTTTCATTTATTTGCCCGGTAGTAATAACCTCACAATTTGATAGTTGAACTTTACAACCAATTATTCATATAGCTTTAATAAAAACTATTTAGAAACAAACTTACTTTGTACTTGATGAAGATGTCCTTCGTCGGTGCAGATTTGAACTATTCCAAAATAATACACTTGGTCTACGTTCAGTGATATTAATATTTGCTAACGAACCAACAAATTTATCAGCTCCTTCTGATGCGTCTAAATTTGCTTCTGCAGCACCACTGTCAGCTGTAATTTTTGTCCAATCTGGTAGTATAATGTCTGTGGTATTCCAGTATGCATCACGTACAAGATCAGGATGCTCATGATGCATTCCATCGACAATTAGATAAGAAACCTACTCAAAAGATTTCCGAAAAGCGCTGTATCTAGTCAATCTAAGCTATGATTAGCCAGCAAGAAAAGACAGATATAATATTGTGCCATATATAATTTACTTATATTTTAATGTAAAGAATTTCATCCTACTGTCAGTTACACAACGTAGAATCTAGTAAATATATCCTTTTGTTCACGTTACCACACCACATAGACACAGGGGTTCCAGTGTAGTATAAGTAGTAGTATCAGTAGTAATATCAGTGGTAGTAGAAAAAACTAGGTACAAAAGATATGATTTAAAGAAATATGGGTTAGTGGAATTAAAAAATCATGAGATAATTTACAAACTTATTTATTTGAACACATAAATAATAGCACAAGGGGGCACGGATACATATGCGCCACACAAGTCACTTGATTTAAGGGTTGGCTACGGTACTGCCCGGGTGTCCAGACCGAAGTAGGTGGTTTACTTGGGAGGCCACACCCCGAGCCTTTGACCTAAAGGTTTGACTAACAAGGCAGTAGAGCATTGTAAGGAGATGCAGTCCCATGGCAAACGGTGACCAACAGCAGGTTCATACACCATTTGTTACCTCAGGGTACTGGAGCCCATGTGCACCATTGGTTTGGAATTAGGGTTTTCCAACTCCCCTAGGTGGATTAACCACGTCCACCAAAACCGGTGGACGTCCTCACAATTTCGTGAACAACACCCCCGCCACGAGAAGGCAGTGAGTAGCACTTCCCTGGCAGAGCCTGTATACGTGTGGCTGTGTGAGAGCATTTCGAAAGGGAGGGTGGCCCCTCCCCACTCTCGGCCGTATCAAGGCATTCGGGGGCAAATAGGTATCAACTATGTACTATAAATAAGGTTTAATCAAACCATATTGAAATAATTCAATGAATTAGTCGAGTATCAATATTTAAAATTGGGTTGTTAACAATTTTTTAATATTGTCATAGAGACAGTTAATGTTGTTATCAATGAATGAACGAAAGAGAAAAAAAATGCAATCTCCACATTGTCGATCAATTATATCATAGTTAATCAAAGGAATATTGTAAAAACACTTCTTAAGTATTATTTGTGACGATCACATTTCGTCTACTTTTTTTCCATATATCAATCAGGTTTGAAAAGTTGATTTTTTGTTGACATCCCTATACAAGTGTAGAATCCTTTTATTTGATATGATCTATTATTTTTTAATTACCTTGTCTAATAATTGCTCTTTTTAGAGAAGAAAAAATTGACTCTGATGTTGTCTACAAATAGATCTCCTTGAAAATTGACAATGCCAAAAAAGAATGTAAAATCAGGAGAGAAAAAAAGCTAATCAATAATAAACCATATGATAAATTGAATCACTCTATGTTGAAGAAACATACCATGTGATTATAGTGATTTAAAGTTATGTTTTCGTTACTACGACGTTTTATCTAAGTAGTTTGTAGAGGTAATTTTTTTCAACTCAAGTACTGATAATTCATTTCTCGTAGGAAATAAACTGTGTTGCTTTTTTTCGAACTATTGGGGAAAATGTCGGTATGTTGAGTATTCAGGACGAAACCATTTGCGAATTGCTTCATTTCCATTTTTTTTTAATTTAAACTTGTATTTCTTCGGGCCATTCATCCTTCTTTTTTACCACGATTATATAAGTTATTATGTTACTGAATCGTAGCTCTTTTGGTATATTATCTTTTCATCTATATTTAAGGCCATTGTACATCCATTATACGCTTGTGTTGCTTCCAATTATTTGTTGATAAAAGAGAGGTGTCATGATGGTTAAGATATCCAGTTTTCTACAACTAAGTTGTAAGTCTGGATCTCGCTCCATCTAATCTAGTTTGGTCAACCGGATAGCATCACTAGCTCTCATACCAGAAGTGTGGCTAAAATACGAGTACACAAATCTCTACCTGGTAAATAAGTTAATAAACTAAGATAAAGAAGAAAGACTAATCAATCTATGAGTTAACTTATCCACAAGACGGTAAGGAAGTGGTGATTAGCAAGCACCTTAGCAGTTCTTCAGGTCAACCCTGGTTTTCGGTTTTAGAGTCCCACATAGGTTGGATGATGCATAACACTTTGTTTGAACTAATTAAGCTTATCAGAAGGGGGTTTTGTGGTGATTTTAGTAATTTATAGTTGAATTCATGAGTCAATTGAAGCTGCTGAGGAGTCCCACACTAGGAGGAAACGGCCGTATAGCGCTTTCAGGTTTTCCATGGTGGTCTAGCTTCAATCGACTAATGGATTCAACTATATAATTAAATTAAATCATATTATGAAAACTGGATAAATAACTATAGGATAACCTTTCTATTGATTAGTTTAACCTCACTTATGTATGATAATAAGCATGGTAGTGCAACTCAGATACCATGTCACTATTCTGAATTTTACATCTTAAGTTTCAAACATTCACAACATAGCACAATATTCATCAAATCCTCCTAGTGCGTAATTGCCTCAATTACAACATAGTTGACTATATCTTCCATGTTTTCCCATAAGAAATTTCAAAAAATCCAATTTAATTAAGTTAGTAATTAGTAGCATCAACAAAAATGTGTGCTGTTCTATTTAGAACTCGTCAACCAGATGTACCAGAATCTCATTAATAATGTTTACTATGCAGCTTGTGGTCCCCATACACTTAGGCCTGTTACTCCAAGGGGAGGAGAGGAGGCCGCCTGACAACATTCTCCAACCAAATGTCTGGAACAGTAATTTCCAGTTGTTTTCAGTTTCAATTCATTCTTTCGATTCCCACCTCCAATTCCCCACACAATGTGTCATTGCTTTTCCTCTTTTCCCTTTCCCTTCAGGATTCCAAATTAGGGCTAATCCCGTGCTGCAGCTTGATCAGCTCCGCAATCTTTGTCCTGTCCACCTATAGCGCATTTACACCATTTTCTCTACAACCAGAACTCACTTGTTCTCTCACAAAGTAGCTTGTTATTTTTGACATCCGGACAACGGATATTGATTATCTTGTGTAAACATCTGTTCATAAATACCTGCACATTATTGATGAAGGCTGGAGTAGTTCTCCACGTTTTACCTCCCTACAATAGAACTGTCTTGACGCTTAGAATGAAAATTCTCACCTTCGTGTTGACTTGCAAACAATTATCTCATATGTCCACATGTTCTTCAATTGTGAGAATACTGCCTTTACTTCTTCAATCCTCGCATCCGTATATGCATCATGTCCACATTGTTTATAAGTGGTGCTGACCAGACATGTGAAAGTTTCCATCTCTTTCACAGCATCCATCAGTTGTAATTGTGTTCGTGTTCTCTGTGTTGTATTTCATGATCTTACATTTTTCCTTGTGTATGATGATGACTACTGTTGCACATACTGCTACTATACTGACTGTCCTCACCTGTATTTCTTGGTGTGTATAAAGTAGAAGATTAAGATCATCTTCTTGCTGCATTTAAGTTGTCCATTGTAAGCAGTGATTCTCAAAGGACGTGAAGGTCTTCATAATGCAGTCGACCACCAGAAGAAAAAGGAAGAGAGCAAGCAGCCTTGTCTAACTTTAGTCTTCACTTCGAAAGCAACTGGTAAGTGTCCACCATTTGCCCCTTTGCAGTGCAGTCCGTCGTATGAATTTCGTAAGATATTGACGACTTCTCAGCAACTCACTCCATTGTGTCGATTAACGTTTCATAAATTTCTACAATCCACTCTGTCAAACGCTTCCTCATAATCAAGGAACGTGATGTTTAGTGACTAGTTCCGTTCAAGTGACTGCTCAACAATGATTTATAGTGTCACAATTTGCTCGATGCGCTACCGATCCTTACGGAATCCAATTCCTTGATTTCAAAGTTAGATGTCTGTTGAATTTTTCATCTGATTCAACAACATTCTGTTGAAAACTTTTCCTGGTGGTGGTAGTAGTGTGATGACTCTGTAGTTTTCACACTTTCCCACATCTTATTTCTTTCATATCTTAATGAGGTATCCTTCTTTCCAGTCTGTCGGCACTTGTTCTTCCTCACAAGTCTCTCTAAATAGAACGTGGAGCATGTATGCACTTACTTCTATGCCTGACTTCAGTGTTTCAACTCGTGTGTTATCTAGTCCTGATGTTTTCTCACTCTTGCTATGTCTAATATTCATGTTGGTTTCTTCGAGCGCTGATAGAGTGGCATTCATAGGGATGGCAGTGTGTGATGCTTCGACGTCTAGTGAGTTCAGCGGAGCTGGTCTATTCAAGAGTTATTCAAAGTGTTCTTCGCACCTGTTCTTCTGTTCCTGAATCTCAGTGATTGGTTTGTTTTCTATGTTCTTGACTGGTCGCTTTGGTTTACTGTATTTCCCTACCAGTTTCTTCCTTGTGCCATATGTTTGTCTCATATTTTCTTTACTTGCATCCTTTTCTGATACCTTTGCCAGATCTTACACGTATTTCTGCTTGTCAGATCTAATGTTCCTCTTCACTCTCTTGTTTGCTTCTCTGTATTCGGCCTGTGACTTGACCTTCTCTATTCGTGTTCCACTGTTATTAATTGCTGTCTTCCTGTTCTTCCTTTCTTGAATCTTGCTCAGGGTTTTGATAGAGATCCATTCCTTATGATGATGCTTGTTGAGGTCGAGAACGTCCTGACACATTAAAGTTAGTACTTGTTTGATCTCTTTCCAGTCGTGGTCTATGGTAGTTTCCTATTATTTGAGTAGATCGTGTAAGGCTTGGAACCTAGTGTTGAGAACTATTTTGAATTCCTTATGTTTGTATGTAGAATGGAGGCTGCATTAAATTTTTTTAATGACGTCCCCACTGTTCATTGCTTTAAAAGTTAATGTACTACTATCTAACTAAACTATTGAATCACAAGACCTACTGAACTTGCTGAAAGAGTTATGAAATTTCTTATTAAATAATGCTTTCTTATGTGTTGATCATTTGAAAGACTACACTTTAGAAAACCACTTCGATTAAATTTTATGACATTTTGTGACTCGATAGAAAACGATTTTTGAA